GTACCCACCCAGCTTTGCTCCCTCCTTCAAGGCTGATTTGTGCTGCCCAAATAGTCTTAGATATGTGACCTTCTACTGGAGCATAATCTTCTTATCAGGGGACACACTCTTAGAGAGCATTGACCCTCCCTTTCCAGCTGCTCACAAGTGCTAATAACTCCTCTGCTAGGAGTGAGACTTCATGCCCACTCCCCTCTCTGTGCTGGGATTTGGTCTGGCTTACATTTGCACAAGTCTTGTGCAATGTGGACATTTGTAATGAATAAATACCTAGTTATCAAAAGCAACAAAATACCAAGGGAGGTAACAAATTAGAATAAATTCTTCAAAGCCTGGGGCCAACATTTGTTTTTAGGGAGCTTAATATAATACCAGATATCTCTGAGGATAAGTCAAGCCTTTTATTGGCATTGCCTGTGTTCAGTGGTAACACAGGGGTTCCTCCCCCAGCCCTAGCACGGACACCTTCCTGTTTGTCTGCTATGTCCCTGGTATTCAGCGTCTTCTTGGTCTACCAGCTTGTCTTCTCTCTCTGTTAACGATGCTCATGCAGCACTGTTACCTGAGGCAAGTCAGAATTGAAACTATTCTGCCACCCTGTGGTCTAGGGTCTCACCCTGGCAGCAGTGTGAAGAGATCCCTGGAACCACAGAGTTGCTCAGATGGAGCCAGCTCTTAGGCTGTGAGCAAAGCACCAAAGATGCTTTTAGAGAATCCTACAGCCAAGGTCATGCCTTTGGGGTCCTCTTCCATATATATTCTGATGGGACGTTGATGGAAGCAGTGAACAGCCAATACATAAATGCATTTCAACCGAATGGGAACCAAAACAAGACCGGGTGAGTATGGATTTAGGATTATCCATTTATAGATCCCATTTTTCTAGGAAGGGAGGTGAGAAAGGATTTCATGGCGTATTCACATCCTCATGCTTTAGCCTCTTGAGTGTTGGGGTTTCCAAGCATGAGCTGCCACAGTGACAGGAAGTTTCCTTTGACTCAGAAGCTAACCCTATATTACATGTGGCAAAGAATCAATTAGTTAATAACTGACTTTGTCTATTCAAGCGCTGAGCTGAGCAGGAAAAACAGGCAGTAGAGCTTGTTTCCTACCCAACATAAGAAAAGCAAAATAAGTAAATGTGAAATGATGCTGGGTTGGACAAGAAAGGCCATTTTGGAGCTGTGTGACATGTGGAGTAGTTCCAGATACACATTAGCTGAGGCAAGAAGATCACAGCTTAAAGCCAACTTTGGCAATATAAGACTCCATTTTTAAAGGGGGAAGGCCATTGTGGTCTGAAATCAAACATGGAAAATGAAGATTTCTGCTTAAGCAGGCCATGCTGAGACGACCAAAAGATACACAAGTAGGAAGATGTAAGAGTTGAATTCAAACTGAGATTTCTGATGTGAAGTGTAGATGGAAAGGGGAAATCTGGTAAAGAAGGATCCAAAAAAAAAAAAAAAGATGGAGTTAGCCCAGCACCTAGGTGGCAAAAGGGAATACACCACAGCAACCAGGAAAAGGAAGCACTTGACAAAGGGAGGGACCAACTGCTAAATGGCCAGTGACATGGGGATGAGGTAAGGCTGGTGTGAAAGGAAGCATTTTTGTTGGGCATGGTGGAGCACACCTTTAATCCAAGCACTTGGGAGGCAAAGACAGGAAGATCCTGTGAGTTTGTGGTCATCCTGGTGTACCTATCAAGTTCCAGGGCAGCCAGGACTATTTAGAGGTACCCTGTCTCAAAAGAAAAAAGGGGGTGAGGGGCTGGGGATGAGACTTCTTGGTACATAGAGAGATCCTGCCTCAAAAAAGTAAACAAAAGGAAAAGATTTTTCTGCAGATGGGAAATAAAATCTTACTAGAGTGGACTAGACAGCAGAGAAGGAAGACCCAGCAGCTCCGAGAGTTGGGAGCATCCAGAGGAGTCAAGGACCAGGGTTTGTTCTACAGACAGACTGAAGACACATTTGCTCGCTCTGCGGGCATACCCAGGAGAGACAGTCTGGAGGGACAGCTGAGTTGCATAGCCCGAGGAGAGATGGCAGTGCCAGCAGAAGGGACACATGATCCTGTCTCAGGAGGAACAGCAGATACCAGGGTAGGCATAGACAGGCAGTGGCTGTTGAGGCATGAACTCACTTTCAATTGTTTTTTTCAGTTCGGCTAAATTGAAGGTGGGGTCTTAAGGAAACATACTTCCAGATTAGACTGTGACAGATAATTGCACAAGGACCAGGTCCCTTGGGGGCCTGGATAGTGCACCCACAGCCCCTTTCCCATTGCTTGGGAAGAGAAAGAGTACTAGTTCTGGCTGTAGTGTTTGAACCCCCTGCACCAAAACTCCTGGTCAGGGTTGACTTACGAAGGTGTCAATTAGCTGTAGGCTCCGAGGTTTTGTCATTTAGCCTCTGTGACTAAGTACAGCCAGTACCCAGCCCTATAAACAAGCCTACACACAAATACCTCCCTGCCCCGATTCTTTCCTACTTTTAAGGTACTGGAAAGCAATGTGTGTGCAGGAGGTTGCAGCAGCTACTAATGGGTATGGAATCTCAGCCTCATGCATGCTGAATTGTACTACTACTTAGCTACACTCCCAGCTCTAGCTTGGTTGCCCTATTTGGGCTGACTCTGAATTACTAGGCTCAAATGAACCGCCTGCTTCAGCCTTGCTGGAAGCTGGAACCACAGATGTGCCACTCTGCCCAAAATAATACCTGTTCCAAACCCACTGGGAACCAAGTATGTCATCTCTTTGTTTTATACCAATCCTATGAGAAAGGTTAAATGAGAAGTCCTTTTTAGGAGGTGGCTTTGATGATGATGTAGCGGCCTTTTCTACCACACCAGCCTCCATCAGTAGCAGACATGAGGGTTTTTTTTCCCAGAGTTGCCACACACATACACACACACACACACACACACACACACACACCCCTCTGGTCCCTATGCTGCCTTTGGATTGCCACTACTTCTATGATTCCTTGGGCCTGGGAAGATGTAGCAAGGCTCCATATGGACGTCCTCTTCTCTCCAGGCTCCTGAACTTTCCATACAGTGGGCAGGACAGTCCTCTATTTTGTCCACACCAAGGAAGTTTCCTCCCAGAATCTGTTGGTAAAGTACCATGTTAGCAGCGCAGTTTTGCCTTGCTGGTTCTCCCTAGCATCCCAAGTACAAGGCCCTGAACTATCCATGCTCTTGTCATGCTTCAGCACCTCTGTCCCTGCTTCCTATGCTTGAACTAGTTCCCCTTTTCTGCCTAACTCTGAGCACCCAGCAAGCCTGACAGCCCTTCCTGCTGCCCCGTCGAGGTCCACAAAGCCACTGTTTCCTTAGTATGTATCTCCTTGTATTCACCACCTTGTCCAGCACCCCACATCTCTGGGATAAGATGCCTAGGCCTCGCCTTTTCTGCCCTGAGCACACCGGGCCTGTTTCATGGGAGATGCTAGGCTTGATTCTTGTGTTAGAAGATGTGAAAGTCCCTGAGGAAAAGAGATTAATTAGGCTAGTCAGGGAAAGTGAGCAGCCTTCAGGATAGGCAAGGTGATTCTGTAAACCTCAATGGCCAAAACAGTATCCCTGGGGGGCCAGAGGGGTACTCCGATCATGAAAGTCATTCAGATGACTTTCTAGACCAGTGGTCCTCAATGTGTGGGTTGTGACCCCTTTGGGGGTTCACATATCAGATGTCCTGTATGTCAGGTGATTTATATTATAATTCATAACAGTAACAAAATTACAGTTATGAAGTAACAACAAAATGCTACGGTTGGAGTCAACATGAGGAACTGTATTAAAGGGTGGCAACCTTAGGACAGTGGAGAAAGCACTGCTCTAGACTGATGGAGCCGCCACATTGAAAGGAGTCACCTTGCTAGAGGGTAGGAGACTCCTGCAGCAGCAGCTAAGTGATTTGCTAAAGAAAGCAAGTGCTTTTGTCCTCTCCAAGCCCTGGGTGATCAGCAAGTACAGGTCCCCTGTGCTCTTGCCAGGTGGAGACCTGTGACACGCAAGCCGGAGAGGGGAGCCCTCAGGGATGCCCCTCCTGACCCTGCTGTGAGAAGCCACTTCAGGGCCTCTAGCTGTCAAGCTACTATCAGGTGAATCTATCAGCCAAGGCAACAAGCTTGGGGCCTATTCTTGCCTCTCCTCCCTCTGATGGGGTGGGGCTGGCAGGAAATCACCAGGTGTGGCCAGGGGAAAGTCCCACCAACATTCTAGAGAAACATGGAATTTCCTGGTTTTAACCACTCACCCAACTGCCCACTCAGAGCTGACCAGAGCAGCACAGACCCCTTCCAGCTTCCCAGGATATATAGGGCATGGGGTTATGGCCGAGAAGGTGGCAAATCACAGGCAAATTACTAAAGGTATGTAAGACTTGATTCTATCCAACGTGGTCTGAAAATCACTTCCCATTCTTCCAGAGTTTACCAGATACTACATCCTCTGCCATCCACACATCCTAAAGCCAACCTTCTGGCTGTGGTCAGAAAGCTCCCCTGCAACGGGGGTGGGGGTGGGGTTGGCTGTGTGGCTGTGTGTGAGGTCAGTTGAAGCAGAGGCTATGACCTGGGTGTGTGCTTGTTCTTGTAGGCTGTAAGGAAGACAAACCCTGTCCAGCTTCTGGGAGAGGCCAAGCACAGATCTTGGGCCTTTCTAGGCAATTTTCAACTTGGTTAACTTATTTCACCTCTTTAGTTGATTTTAAGCAGAGCCCTGAATTCCCCTGCCAAAGATACCAGCACAGCACTCAGTGGCCTGTCACAGAAGCCCCAGCCTCAGTTGCTGACGTTTTTGTGGCTCAGACAAGGGTCCTATGGCTTCCACTTGACAACTTACAGCATCCTCTTTCCCTTTCCTGCTGTGGGGTGGAGGTGTGTGTGGCAGCAGCTGAGCTGCCTGTCTCTTTAAGAGAGAGAGAGGAAGGGAGGGAAAGAGGTGGGGAGAGAGAGAGAAGTGAATCAGGAAGTAGGATAGAACTTAGAGCCTGGACTCTGCTCTTCTGGGTACCCACTGCTGTCAGAGAGGCAGGAAAGAACCTAAGGTCCAGGGCCATCACCACTAGCTTTGCCTGTGTGTGGATCTTGGGGGCTCATGGCTACCAGGATTGACTTCAAGGCCTGAAATCCCTGGGGATGCCACCCAGTCCCACAAGTCTACATTCCCCTGCAGCTGAGCTGGGAGATGGGGTGAGTGTGTAGGGGTTGTGGAGGAGGGTGGTCTGGGGGAGGCAGGTGGGGCAGCCTCAAGGAAACACTCAACTGAATGCCCCCCTCCCGTCTTTCTCGAGGCTGCTGGGAACCTGGTGGTGTACTGTACTCCTTCTGTTGAAAAAGATAACGATTCTCAGAAAGGATTGTTTGGAGGCCTGGCAGGGGCAGGGAGGAGTATGGCCCTGAGGAGACTGGTCAAGAAGTTTCCAATCTTGGCCTCTGCTTCCCAACATGCTGATGCAAAGCTGGGGTTCAGCTCTGGGTACCCCTACTGACCTCTGCTTGGGATCTTTTCCCTGAGGCCCAGAATAGCTAGGAGAGGTTCCCAGAGCATGTGGAAAGAGGCTGCAAAACCCCCAGTCTTGTAGGGAAGGTGACAACGGGAAAGGGTTAAAAAGCTGAGACCGGTGGCCTTTGATGGGGCTGAGAATCAAACAGCACCGAGGGGGCCTCTCATCCACCCACCCTTCTCTTTCCGGTGTAGCTCAGCTCCTGAACTTGCCCCAGACAGAAAGCATAATACACACTTGCCAGGGAGAGCCTGCCTGATTCTGGGCTACTCGGAGTGCAGGTAAGTACAGCTGCCACAGAAGAACCCCCAAGGAGGATGGGGGTCCATGAGACGGCTGGTGTTGGTTCACCGGAGGCTGCTACACATTCCATGTGGAGAAGGGGTTGGTGGGAGATGAAAGTGCACGGTGATCCAGATGTGCCCTAGTCAGAGCTTCCAGGCACAGAACCCAGGACCGTGCAGCCCTGGGGGATTCTGTTTTGTGCATCTCACTGCCCGTCTCCCTGACCTCAGTTGTGCTTTGCCCTAACGCCAGAGCTTGGCTGAGGACCAAGGTAGAGTTATGAAAGCGATACAATCTGGTGCCCCTACTTCCCAAGCCTAGGACCTTGACCTCCATTCCCGTATACCTCGTCTGAGCTTCACATTGGTCTGACTCTTCAGCCATGTGGAGAACCATGGCTACTCCTTCACGTTGCCTTGGAAGGGCTCACCAGCAGCCTTACTTTTGCATAATGCAAATGTGAGTGTGCTGCCTGAAACTAGGGCATGACTATTGCTCTCTTCAAGTGGCTTCTGGCTCAAAAGTTGACATTCTCCAGGTTTAGCATCTTTAAATGAGAGGACCAGCGGGGACCTAGCTCGCTCAGTCTGTAGAATGCTTGCCTAGCACGCAAAGCCGTGGGTTTGATCCCCAGCACCTACTTAACAGGGAATGGTGGTGCACAACTAGAATCCGAGCATTTGGGAGGGAGATGCAGAAGTTCAAGACCATCCTCAATACCACCGAAGGTACTGGGCTGGCTACTCTGTCTTTAAAAAAAAAAAAAAAAGAATAGGCTCAAAATCGAACCATCTTTGGTTTGAGACTCAGTGAGCTGCTGGAGCAGGAAGAGGCCCTGCCTAAAGCAACTTTATTTCAAAACATTGAAGGGGTGGTGGCTCCTCCTGCCCCCAGGCATCCCCAAAGGCTGACTCTGACCCTGTCTTGCAGATAGGCCGTGAGTGCGACTTCTGAGGCTACACCTTCTAGAACTGGTTGCTTTAGAGGAACCAGCTTTGAGGAGAACAGGATGAGAGCAAAGATGGGGAGCAGAGTGTGGACAGTCTCAGATCTTCCCCAGAGCTCTTTGCCCTTGTGTGTGATGGTCTTAGATCCTCCCCACTCTCCTCCGTCACCTACCCCTCCCTTTTGTTCCTCCCATCCTTTCTCCCTAGCTGTCTTCCCTGCAGCTCTGTCCCTTCTGGAAAAGCACTGGGCCAGCCCTGACTGCCTGGTGAGCAGCTGTTAGCTCCCAACAGTAGGAAGTTTGGGGCCAGGCAAGCAGAGAAGGGAGGGTGAAGGGGGGTGCTCCAGACTCATGTTGCAATCCTGGAGATTTGTGACTGACTCTGCCTGACCCTGGCTGACCCAGGGCCCTTCTTCCCGCACTGTGTCTGCTTCCTGGGACAGTCCCAGGCCTGGATGCCGAAACTCTGAGTTCCCAGTGCCCGAAAGAGGTGATAGAGAAAGTTCCCCTAGATTGGCCTACCTCTGAAAGGTATTGGAAGGGACCTGGGGCACAGGACAGAGAGAAGTGCCCATGGAGAAAACAGATGCAAGCTTGAGGCCCTCCTGCTGCTGTTTGTTTCTTTGGGGGGAAGTTACTTAATCTTCCTGTACCACCATTTCCCCCGGCTCCCTTGCCTGTGCCATGGCCACATAGAGCCCTTTGTGGGATGATCTTGGGAGCTGATGGCTGGCTGCCAGTATCTATTTCAGGTCAGACTGGGACCTTGGGACCCCCAGTGGTTGTTTGTTTTGTTTTCCCAGGTGGAAGGTAGCCAAACCTGGGAGATGCAGAGTACAGCTAATTACCTATGGCACACGGATGACCTGCTAGGGCAGGGGGCCACTGCCAGTGTGTACAAGGCCCGAAACAAGGTAATAGCAACTCTAGCCCCAGACCCTTACTTGCCCTAAAACTAGCCCTCTATTGGGCATTCGGATTCTGTGTAGCTGGGAAACAGTCCCATGCCTCTGTTCTGTCTACCCTGATGAGAAAGGACTCATAGGTTTGAGCTGAGGTGTGAGATGCTGGAAGAATCCCTCGGAATGCTGCCTCTGTCAGAGACATGTTGGGACTAGAGGGCAAGGCAAAAGAGGAGGTGACAGCAAGTGGGATCTAGGAATGGCAGGACTTGGAGGTTGGGCCTGTCTGGGTTTGTCCTACAGTGGCTGCGGAGCTGTGTCAGAATACACCCCGTGTTCAGGAGCTGCAGGCCGGGTAGACTGCCCAGGCAGTTCTTATCTATGGCAAAATGAGCAATAGCACAAGTCATCCCTTGTGGGGTACCAGGTGTGTCACCTACAAGTGCCACTCCAGCCCCCTGAGTAGGGGAAGGGGCTGCGATGTAAGCCCATCCAGCCCCCCCAAAGAGAGGGAAAGGAGGCAGCTCCCTGATGGGTAGGACCAGTATGGTCCCCTTGTTGATTCCCAACCCTATGCCCACATGCCAGAAATCTGGGGAGGTGGTTGCTGTAAAGGTCTTCAACTCAGCCAGCTACCGGCGGCCCCCCGAGGTGCAAGTGAGGGAGTTTGAGGTGCTGCGGAAGCTCGACCACCAGAATGTTGTCAAGCTCTTCGCTGTGGAGGAAACGGTGGGTCCTCTGCTTGGTTAGAGAAGGATGCACTTGATCGTGGCTTTTGCAGGCCAGGGATAGGCAAGTCAAGGCTCAGCAGCAGTCCAGAGCCCCAGTGGGGGCGGGCGGGGGGATGGGCGGGGTAAGGAACCCGTGGTGTGGGGCCACATAGGGAAATCATTAGGAAAGGAAAGGGGGACTCAGTGCCCGATTACAGAAGGTTTCTTGGGTTCCTGTGTCTGGGATGGAAGGCCAGGCAAGAGGCTGCGCCAGGGAATGAGTGCTGTGGGCTCTAGGTAAGGAACCTCCTGACAGGCAGAAGTCAGAAGTACCCCCCTCTTCAAGCCTCCTTCTGCCCTATGCCCAGGGAGGCAGCCAGCAGAAGGTGATCGTGATGGAGTACTGCCCCAGCGGGAGCCTACTGAGTGTCCTGGAAGACCCTGAGAACACATTTGGGCTTCCCGAGGAGGAGTTCCTGGTGGTCCTGCGCTGTGTGGGTGAGCCCTGCCCCATCCCCAGGTCCTCTGCACCGGCAAGGTCCAGGATGAGTGTGCTCTTCTGAAACAGGTGTCCCAGGGGGCCTGAGGCAGAGGGGTGGGCCACGAGGACCCACATGATTGATTCAGCTCAAAGCCGTAGAAAGAACGTTCTAAAACGATTGTTTTCTGGTGTTGAAGGTAGCATCATTTACAGCAGGCAGCAGGTAAGACAGCCAAAAAGGATTGGGTGCCTGCAGGCAGTGGGGTAGCCGTACAGCGGAGGGACTTCTCACACACAGGCAATGTGGAGGAAACTGTGCTGAGGGATCTAGCCATAGATGCAAAAACCACACTTCAACTAGGGTGCAGCTCCTGGGGGAGTAGGGTTGCTGGAGGCAGAGGCAGAATGCTGTGCGGGGCTGGGAGTGTGGAGTAGGGAGTGCTGTTTGATGGGGTGGAGGAGGAAAAGGTTAATGTGCTTAAAGCCATGTGCTTAAAACTGGTTAAATTGAAGGGCCACCCTGGGGAGGCTGAGGCAGGCTGATGAGGAATTCCAGGGCAGCCTGGGCTACATAGTGAAACATATCCAAAACCAAAATTTTAAATGATAACTGTTGTTAGTTTTATTTTACCACAAGTCAATAATAAGATGGAGACGATGTACCCCGCCCCCCCCCAAAATCTAAATAAGTCAATATTATGATGCCCTTGGGATCCCTTCCTTTTATTTATTAGAAAATAGATGACAATGTGTGTGAGTGTTTTGCCTACACGAATGCATGCGCACTGTGTGTGACCTGGTACCCTCAGCAGTCAGAAGAGGGTGTCAGACACCCTGGACCTGAAGTTACAGATGGTTGTGAACCACCATGTGGGTGCTGGGAACTGAACTTGGGTCCTCACAAAGAGTGGCAAGTGCTCTTAACTGAACCTTCTCTCCACCCCCCCCCTTAAAATTTATTATATTATTTTTACTTTATGTGTGTGGGTGTTGTGCCTGTACATGTCTGTGTACCGCATGCATGACTGGTGCCTGCAGAGGCCAGAAGAAGGCACTGGATCTCCTGGAACTGGAGTTCTAGTTGTGAGCTGACCTGTGGGTGCTGGGAATTGAACCAGGGTTATCTGAAAGAACAGCCCGTGCTCTTAACCAGTGGTCCCTCTCCCCAGCTTGGAAAGCCCCTTCTTAGCCCTCTGGGCTTCTCTGTTCTCCAGTTTTCCCTGTACTGAGTCCCCTGTGCAGCCTACTGTTTATTTGTCCAAGGACAGACTCTTCCTCAGGACAAACCTCAGACATTAGACCGACTGGTCCCTAGCTGAGCCAAGCTAGGAACCGTGCTCTTTCTGTCCCCAGTGGCTGGCATGAACCACTTGCGGGAGAATGGCATCGTCCACCGTGACATCAAACCTGGGAACATCATGCGCCTGGTGGGGGAGGAGGGGCAGAGCATCTACAAGCTGTCCGACTTCGGGGCTGCTCGGAAGCTGGACGATGAGGAGAGCTTTGTTTCTGTCTACGGTACGGAGGAATACCTGGTAAGTGACATGTTGGAGACCCTCTGCCCCAGCTGACAGCCCCTTTCTTTGTGCCTTCCTAAGCGTCCCCTAGGACCCACACACTGCCCCTCCATGGCTACCGTCTACCTTTCTCCCATAGCACCCTGACATGTATGAGCGGGCCGTGCTTCGTAAACCCCAGCAAAAGGCGTTCGGGGTGACTGTGGATCTCTGGAGTATTGGGGTGACCCTGTACCATGCAGCCACCGGTAGTCTGCCCTTCCTCCCCTTTGGTGGGCCCCGGCGCAACAAGGAGATCATGTACGGTGGGCAATGGGGCAGGGAATGAAGGGGACAGCCCCACCCCGGGACTTCTTTCTGGCAGACACCTGGCCCTTCCCCTACTGGGTCCTGCTGTGTCTCCTACCCAGGTCCCTACCTGGGGTCTTTCAGAGCCACTGCTGGTCAAACCAGAGGCACAGTCTTACACCCCTGGCTTGGTAGAGAGCACTCATACCCCTTTGTGGTAGTTCAGTGTTCCCTCTAGCCCTGCCTCCCCGTTCCTATCCCACCACGTCTCCACTAAGGCTCAAGGAGGCTTACAAGGTTGCCTTGGCTGTAGGGGTGAAGATGGAGCTGGTACCCAGGCACAAGGTCTTCCTAATGTCTCTCACTGACTGATAAGAGGAGTTAACAGGGGTTGCCAGGACGTACTGCCCAGAACCAAAGAGCAAAGCACAGAAATGAGAGCCCTGCAATACGAGGATCTGCTGAGCTGTTACTGATGCTGTATAGGAGAAAAGGACCAAGTCTTGGGACAAGTTCCCAAGGTTCTAGCTGGAGGGCAGGTGGGAAAACACCTGCTGGACCTAGTGCCAAGAACTCATTATAAATAAATATTGGGGAAGAAAAACCTAAATCTACATTAGCGGTAGGTAGTGGGCAGTTGAGAAGAGAGGGCTTTGGGGTTGCAGGGTGGTCCAGAAGGAGTGCTTGTGACAGCGCTGGTGGCAGTTAGTGGCCTGCCGAGGTACAGAGAGGCAGAGCACGGTGGCTTTGGAAGTCAGAAGTGCAGTGGTCTGAGTTCAGGGATGTGAAATTGTTCTGATGGTTCCCTCAGAACTGACCAATTGTTAGCGTCTCTTCCCTCCTCCATCCTGTAATAAACGGAAGTCATCTCAGAGTGTTTCTCTTAGCAGGGTGTCATCAGGAAGGTTGGTGCGTGCACCCTTGGTCCTGGGGCAAGCTGCGTGGAACTCATATTAGGTTTGGGGACCAGGGGGAATGTTGGAATGGAGTGGGCTATCAGGGAAAACTAGATTGGGGGAGCAGTTAGAAAAGTGAGGCGAGAATGTTTGGCACGGAACTCAGCACGGCACAGATGTGGAGGTGGCTGGACTTGGAACAGCCATAGTGACAGAGAGAAGGGCTCTGCCTAAAGCCAGGAGCTTGGCTGGGCAGAGGTGATCTCACAGTTAGACCCAGGGCACCCCAGTGTCATTTTCCAGCTACCTCACAGTGGCTGGGTGACATGGACCGCTCTCTGGTTGGAGTTTATTGTTTCTTAAATTTGCGGGTAAGAGAGAAAGTAGGATGAATGGGAGGTGGAGGAGGGGGGTCTAGTGGCCTCATTCTGTCCCACTATAGGTACAGAATCACAACAGAGAAGCCAGTCGGGGCCATTTCAGGGACTCAGAGGCAAGAGAATGGGCCCCTAGAGTGGAGCTATAGCCTTCCCATCACCTGCAGACTGTCCATGTAAGTGAGAGGGGCGGGCTCTCTAAGAGAGGGATCACCTCTTTCTGCTGAGTCAGGTCTTCTGGGATGTGTCAGCAGAGCCCTGGGCTCTCAACTTCTTTTCTATAGCCTAGGAAGTTCCATTTGGATGCTCGTGCCCCAGCCCTGGCAATCTTCATGTCTTGTGTGTGTGTAGGGGGCTGCAGAGTCAGCTGGTGCCTATCCTGGCCAACATCCTGGAGGCAGAGCAGGCCAAATGCTGGGGCTTTGACCAGTTCTTTGCGGAGACCAGTGACATCCTGCAGCGAATCATCATCCACGTCTTCTCCCTGCCCCAGGCGGTCTTGCATCATGTTTACATTCATGCCCACAACACGTGAGTGGGAACAGCAGAAACCCCCCCACCCTGCATCTAAGCTGTGGTGTAGGTGAAAGGGTACGTCCCTCAAAACACATTTGGAAAAAGTACTATTTCCACCAAGTTCAAGTCTAGTGACTTCTTGGTTTGTGTTTCAGATTCCACAGTCTTGATGGTGCTAGCCTAGGCTATGAGTCTCGGAGGCAGGGCGCTCTGTTTATTTCTCATAGAACCGCCACACTCACTAAGTTCCTGGTCTTTATGGTGCTAGCCTGGGCTATGAGTCTCGGAGGTGGGGTGCGCTGTTTCCCATAGAACTGCTGCACTCACTAAGTTCTTGGTCTTAGCTGTTGGGGATAGTATCTTGATGTGTAGCCCAGCTGACCTCAAACTCCATCCTCCTGCCTCAGCCTTCCAATAACTAGGATTGTAGGCATGGTCCCCAACACACAGATCACTGGATGGGATCAGGACAATTTTAATGAGGGTACAGATGGATTGAACACAAAGAGGCTAGGCGTTGGAACTCTTGGGTCTTCTCATTTTGCATGAACTCTGTCCTTTGCTGCTCCATCTTTGATGAAAAACTACCCCCCTCTGGCCCCTGACCCCAAAAAGCTGAGTCCTCCCTGGTACCGACAGCTCCCTCCCCCCAAAAGCTGAGCCCTCCCCCTGGTGCCCACACCTCCCTTCCCCCCAAATCCTGAGCCCTCCCCTGGTGCCCACACCTCCCTCCCCCCCAAAAGCTGAGCCCTCCCCCTGGTGCCCACACCTCCCTTCCCCCCAAATGCTGAGCCCTCCCCCTGGTGCCCACACCTCCCTTCCCCCCAAATCCTGAGCCCTCCCCTGGTGCCCACACCTCCCTCCCCCCCAAATGCTGAGCCCTCCCCCTGGTGCCCACACCTCCCTTCCCCCCAAATGCTGAGCCCTCCCCCTGGTGCCCACACCTCCCTTCCCCCCAAATGCTGAGCCCTCCCCTGGTGCCCACACCTCCCTCCCCCCAAAAGCTGAGCCCTCCCCCTGGTGCCCACACCTCCCTTCCCCTCAAATGCTGAGCCCTCCCCCTGGTGCCCACACTTCCCTCCCCCCCAAATGCTGAGCCCTCCCCCTGGTGCCCACACCTCCCTCCTCTCATGTGTCTAGGATTGCCATCTTTTTGGAGGCTGTTTATGAGCAGACCAACGTGCCTCCCAAACACCAGGAGTACCTCTTTGAGGGTCACCCTTGTGTCCTTGATCCAAGCATCTCAGCCCAGCACATCGCCCCCACAGCTGCCAGCAGCCCCCTGATTCTCTTCAGCTTGGCCAACGATGAACCCAAGGGGCTGGCCTTCAGGGACCGTGAGTAGGGCCATTCGGGCTGAATCTTTTATGCTTGAGACACTCTCTTGCAGAACATTTGGGTTTACAGCCCAGGGCATGACTTGTTTTCCTTGTAAATGTTTCTCTGTCCGACACAGTAGAAGCCAATTTGGGGTTTAATTCTATGCTCACCTCTGAGTTGCCGTGTGACTTGAGCTGGTGACTAGACTTTCCTGGCTTCTCCAGATCCTCCGACAGAGATGGGGTATTTGAAACCCTTATGCCCTCCAGTCTCTATGAATGGTGGGGATGCTTTGGGTAGCTTTAGCTGTTGGAAAGAAAGACAGGTGGGCCAAGGCCCGGAGCTTTATTCTTTTCTTAATTTCTAGAAACATTGTTTCTCATTTGGATTTGAGTGAGGAGGCTTTAACCTTGCAAGAGACTAGGGTCTATTGGCAGGAGAGGCAGGGATTGAAGCTTTAGGGTGTAGTTCCCAAATATAACCACAAGGTGGCGATAAAGAACCGAGTCTGCGAAGATCCGCAGGGTTGAAGTTTGCCAGAGGAAAGCCTCCGGAAGAGTTGGGAAGGTTTAGGCGGGAGATCAGCAGTGAGGGGTGACTGTGAGCTGGGAACAAGGAAAGATGGCCTCAGAGTTGACCCAGTTCGTAAAAAAAAGCCTCTCAGACAGGATTTTTGTCTGCAGCTGCTCTGGACATCCCAAAGTTCGTCCCCAAGGTCGACCTACAGGCAGATTACAACACAGCGAAGGTGAGGGGCGGCCCCCAGGAGACAGAAGGGGGTCTGGCACAGGGGAAGGCCTGCCCTGCCCATCTGTATGTTTCAGGGGGTGCTGGGTGCTGGTTACCAGGCCCTGTGGCTGGCGCGGGTCCTGCTGGATGGACAGGCGTGGATGCTTCGAGGGTCCCACTGGGTCCTGTGAGTACTTTGGTAGACCCATCCAGACCTCTTCTGTCCCTCCCTAAGGCCATGCCTACATGCACAGTGCCCTAGTCAAGGTGACTCTGACTAGGGCTGCCCTCACACAGGGAGGTGCTTCAGAACACGTGCCGGCAGACACTGGAGGTCACACGAACAGCCCTTCTCTTCCTCAGCAGCAGCCTGGGCATTGAAAGGTGGGTGTTCTGCCGCGGCCAGCTGGGGCCCTCAGGTCTCCTTCCGGCTCCTCTCTCCTGCAATGTATCGCCTTGAGTTCCCACCCCCTGCAACATTAGCACCCTCATTCCATCCTCATGCCCTATCTTCCCAAATGGTACCCATCTCCAGCTTAGTCCTGCCTCCTGCAGGGAGAAATTCATGTGGGCACTGCCTCTCTGGGCAGTCCCTTACCTCGGAAAGAGCAGCTTCCAACCCCCAAAAGGCTCGTACCCTCTTAAGCCCCAGGAAAAGCAGCTCCCTACACCAGGTAGTGCCTTAATCCCTCAGGACTTGGAACGATTTGGCACACTCATTCTGCACCGAGCCCCAGAGAGAATCCAGAGGAAGGGCGGTTTCCAGGTACTGTCCCTGCACACGACCAGGGTTGGGAATCCAGACTCTCAGCCTTTGCTCCTATGTCCTCTGGGTCTTCCACTCGCCCTTGCCCTCCGAGGTGCAAAGAAAGAGCCTGGGGAGGGGGAAGCTAAACTGGTAAAGGGTGGGGAGGAAGAGCGAGGGAAGGTGGGCTGGCCAGAGTACTGCTGTGAAGGGAACACAGCCTGAATCCTGAAAGGCAGAGGACGGAGGTGCTGAGAGATGGAAGTCCTACCGCCAGGGGAAGCTTTCCCGCCAAGGCAGGACAACATTCCTGAAGCACGCTCACGTGCGCGCGCGCGCGCACACACACACACACACACACACACACACACACACACACACACGCCCCCATGCCCCAATTGCCCCATAACCGGAGCTTTTCCCTCGGAAGTGCAGGGAGTTTCCCAGGGTGGGCTGGATCTCGGTTTGAGCCCAGGCCTGGCAGAGTCTGCCTATGAGGTGATGGGGAGGAGGATAAAGGGAAGAAGGGTGTTTCCAGATGACAGGACCGGAGTCCGTTGTGGCTGAGTCCCTTTGGATGGTGACAGAGGGTGGGAGCCACCAGGAACATTCCTGATGGACGTCTGGCTAGTCCTCTGCGGGCACAGAGATGGGACTTAGGGGTAGGATGTGGCATCTGCCCCACAGAGGGGCCTCTGTGGCCCTGGTGCACTCAGTTCTTCCTTGGCACATGAGCCTGGGGAAGGGCCCTCTGGGGATAGGGAGCCAGGGTGCCAAGGTTTGGAGCCCACAAAGTCCAAGTTGGTGGGGGATAGAAAGGATGCCGTGAGGCAGATATCCTGGAGAGAAGTCAGGGAGAGAGGTGGGTGGGGAAGGCTTGGAATCCTGGAGGGTCCATTTAGTACCAAAAACAAAACAAAACAAACAAACAAAAAACTCGACCACGGTGATCGTTTGTGGGTTCTCAGTCTGGAGGGAGAAGTGTGGAGGAAGGTATGGGGTGTCTGTCTGCCCCTTACCTGGCACTGACAGGTTGTAGGAGGCCAGTGTTGACTAGCTGGGTTTTCCACTCTGGCTCCAAGGCTCTGAGGTCAGGAGCATCAGGTGTTTGGGGGGGGATGGGGAGCAGGGGGGCCCACATAGAGCTAGGGTCCAGATGGGATCTCTTTCCTGGCTTGCAGGGGTCTCAGGTCATCAGTGCCTTTCCCTTCCTGGGCCTCTGCCAATATGTAAAGCCTCCCAGTACAGGGACACCCTCAGACCCGCAGATTCCTCTAAGGGCTGGTAGCAGCCTCCACCCCAGCTGTGCTTCCTTGGCAAGACAGCCTTCCTGTCCTTTGTCCTGAAGGTCTCTGGCTGGAGGGATATCTGGATATCAGGACATCAGCAATCCTGAGGTTGTTGTTTGACGGTGGACGATGACTTATGTTTCACTCTGTTCTAATATTTGTCTTATTGGTTCTTTGTTTTTGATTTTTGTTTCTGTTTTCTTTTAAGTGAGAGAAAGAATATAAAGTTGAATGGGTAGGGATATAAGAGGTGGAGGGGGGAAAATATGATCAGAATATATTGTCTGGAAAAAAATTAAAATAGAAAAGAGAAAAATATTTTTAAAAAAGAATATATACAGGTAGGAGAAAGCCAGGAAGTGCAGAAGCCCCTCCCCGACCCAGACCTCTCACCAGCCTGCATCCATCCCTGGGAGTATGTGGGTCACCAGCCTGCATCTGTCTGGGGGAGAATGCGCGATCCATCCGCTGGAGGCCCCCTTCATCAGTGCATTCCCATCTGCTGGTACCCATCATGGCTGGGACTTTTCTGTCATCATTGTCCTACAGTTTCCTTTTACAGCTTGTTCTGTCCAGACTGGACACCAGTCCAGAACCACACTTTGTGTCTGGTAGTTTTGATCCTTGACGTTATTAAGTTCTTTCCCTCTGGCTCCCCAACCCTCAGACTCCCAGAACACTCTCTTGTTGCCCTTTGGCTTCTCTTCCACCCAGCACCTTTGGTAAGTTAGGGGTTCCATGGACAGTTGGAGTCAGGTTAAACATCTTGTGTTAGAACACCATAGACCATGTGGGGTACTAACTGTGGGTGCACCGTGTGTGCCAGGTGATCCCTTACTGTGTAGTGTACTGACCCTTACTGTGTAGTGTACTGACCCTTACTGTGTAGTGTACTGACCCTTACTGTGTAGTGTACTGACCCTTACTGTGTAGTGTACTGACCCTTACTGTGGAGTGTACTGACCCTTACTGTGGAGTGTACTCATCCCTTACTGTGTAGTGTACTGACCCTTACTGTGGAGTGTACTGACCCTTACTGTGTAGTGTACTGACCCTTACTGTGGAGTGTACTGACCCTTACTGTGGAGTGTACTGACCCTTACTGTGGAGTGTACTGACCCTTACTGTGTAGTGTACTGACCCTTACTGTGTAGTGTACTCATCCCTTACTGTGTAGTGTACTGACCCTTACTGTGGAGTGTACTGACCCTTACTGTGGAGTGTACTGACCCTTACTGTGTAGTGTACTCATCCCTTACTGTGTAGTGTACTGACCCTTACTGTGTAGTGTACTTTTCCTGAAAGAGAGCCAAGGCAGTGTTACTGTGTCATCTTGCAAATACTGTGTCCACCTTTTATTTTAATCATTCTTGGTCGAATTCAGTGTCAATCATCTCACTGGGGTGATGGGAGGTTCATGGTCCAAGTCCTGGACTACTATGAGCCTGTACCCTCCCAATGATGTGCTTTTGGTTGTCAAGAACTACTGTTTCTACTGGAAAGAACTTTATTCAATTATAGAACTTTCTAATAAGGAGTTTTACTAATAGTTATCTTGCATTGTAGGCTTGTGTGTTTTCATGAATTCAGGTATTTCAGTCTACTTCAACTTTTATTCTTTGCTCAATAATATTACAACCTCTGTGTGAAGGGCCCATGTCATGTTGGTTCTTCTGTCTCAAACTCCCGCCAAAAGCCAACAATACTGTCACAAAGAAACCATGCCAGTGTATGGGTTCAGAGCTCTCTGCCTCTTCATCTGCCTCCTGAGCTCCTCATAGCCTTCTCCTTCCTCCCCATCATAGCCTTCTCCTTCCTCCCCATCATAGCCTCTCCTTCCTCCCCATCATAGCCTCTCCTTCTCCCCACCATAGCCTTCTCCTTCCTCCCCACCATAGCCTTCTCCTTCCCTTCCAGGCTCAGCAGGGGAGTTGGGATGTCAGAGTTCCAGGAACTAAAGGAGGCCACAGAGCTGTGGTCCAGGCTGCAGACTGTGAGTGAGCCCCAGGGGCAGAGCTTTATAGGCATAAGGGGTGGACAGGGGGACCCCTGCAGATGGACCAGCATAGTCCTGAGTTCAGGACCCCATAGAAGTCTCTCTTTTGGCCCCACAGTTCTCAGAGGTCCTCTCGAGATGTTCCCACAACGTCACAGAAACCCAAGTGAGCCTGAGCAGCCTGGGAAAAGAGATTTTGAAGAACCGGAATCAGATCCACGATGACAGCAGGAGGTCTGTGGGGCTTCCTTCATCTGTGTGAGGGGCTGGGGCTGCACGTGGACCTAAAGGCTCGGGAGCTTTCTTGGAGTCAGCCTGATTGCTCTCTTCTTGGGCGAGGTACTGAGATGTAGGAGGGGAGTCCAAAGAAGAGCCAGGCCCTCTGGGAGAGTAGCCTCAGGAGTGAGAACCTGGGTTCTGCCCTGACGGGGGGGGGGGGGGGAGACCTTGGATAACAAGAAGGGGGTCACAGCAGGTACAGGAGCTCCCAGCTCCCTCTCCTCTCCAGTGCATTCACTCTCACTTAGAGCATGTCCAAGCTCACCAAACACCAGTGCTGCAGATGCCTGTCACAGATGGGAGGCTCACTCTGTGAGGTTTCTTTCCTAAGTCACCATCAGTAAATGGGTAGGATCCACCCACCCCCAACGCTTACGGCAGACAGAGTCTACAGCATTGCTTAAAATCTTATTTTATTTTGCCTGGGCTGTAGCATAGTGGTAGAGTACTTGACTAGCATGTGCTAGGCTCCAGGTTCAACTCCCAGTACCACATAGTAAATAGATAAAAGATAGATAGATAGATAGATAGATAGATAGATAGATAGATAGATAGATGATAGATAGATGATATATAGATAGATAGATAGATATAAGATGATAGATAGATGATAGGTAGATAGATGATAGGTAGATAGATAGATGACAAATAGAGATGGATGAATGAACAAACAAACAAACAAATAAATAAATAAATAAATGTTACAGGTTTAACAACGGGGAGGGGAAAACCAGGCAGTGCCTTTAATCCCAGCACTTGGGAGGCAAAGACAGGCAGATCTCTGTGAGTTGGAGGCCAGCCTGATCTACAGAGTGAATCCCAGGACAGCCAGGACTACAGAGAAACCCTTTCTCAACAAACAGACAAATTTATTTTATTTTATTATTTTGTGTGTATGGGTATTTTGCATGCATTTTTTTTCCTGAGCATCACATACATGCAGTGCCACTCGAGGCCAGAAGAGGGCATCAGATCACCAGAATTGGAGCTATAGATGGTTTGAACCGCTGTTTGGGTGCTGGGAGTTGAACACAGGTCCTCTGCAAGAGTCACAAGTGCTCTAAACCACGGGTCTATCTCTCCTGCTCCTGATTTACAGCATTTAAAGAATCCTATTACTGTTTTCCACAAACCTAAAAATGTGTGCCCGCATCTGCTGAGTGCAGAGCCATAGCCCCCTTGCTCCACTGTGACCACGGCAGCTGAGATCTCCACAGACCTAGTGTTCCATGTCCTCAGTTCTGAATACAAACAGCTTTGACAATGGCAGGGGTTTCTTAGCCGTCCCCTCACGGAACCTAGGGTAAAATGAATAAAGCCTGTGGACTCTGTATCATCTATGGTGAATTTTTATTTTTATTTATTTATTATTTTCTGAGACAAGATCTCACTGTGTAACTGTGGCCTGGAACTCACGATGGAGCCTCACAGAGATCCACCTGCCTCTGCTTCATGAGTACTTGAGATTAACGCTGCAGGCCGCCGTGCCCAGCTCTCACGGTAGATGTTATGAGCTCATTGGATTAGGTGCCCAGCCCACATGCTGCTAGTGTGTTCCACAAACCCTCCGTGTGCACTGAGGTGCCTTTCTAGGACCACAAGGCAGTTCTGAGTTCACAAATGAGAAACCATGGCTCTAGACACATCCCAGCCAATCTCATCCCTCAGGCTGCCTGAGCCCTGGCAATGAGCTCACCTGAGGTGGTGGTCACCTAGGAACCTCTGGAAGGAAGTAGCACCAATTAGGGCTGAGGGTGAGGAAGGACACCCCAGTCCCTAAAGGAAACGGTTATATCCAGTGTGAAAAGCAAGGGGAAGAATCAAACCCCAGACTGACAAAGTCCTTGAGAGGCCTCCTCCTACCCCATCTCCCTCCCTCCAGCGGAACCGTGGGTTCATTACTGTTTTAGGGAGAATTGTTGACCCATTAAGTTCCTTCTATGGACCAGGTATTTAAGAATATAGACCCTTGTACCCAGTCCAGACTCTGTTTCACCTGCTTGAGGGGAGGGAGGGAGGGAGGAAGGGAGGGAGAGAGAGAGGGAGAGAGGGAGGGAGGGAGGGAAAGAGGTCTAGAATAGAGAAGGAGGTCTAGAATGGAGAAGGAGGGCTTGATCTAAATTATCTAAATAAGCTTAGAGACAGGCCTGGTTTCTCCACTCCCAGATCACACGCCACCCTGCTCTGTGGCAGAGAGACAGCTCCCTCCTGTTCCTACCCCTATGATATTCGAGTCTTCCTGCTTTCTGCCCACAGCATCCAGAAGATTCAGTGTTGTTTGGACAAGATGCGCTTTATCTACAAACAGTTCAAGAAATCTAGGATGAGGCCAGGTGAGCTTTGGGGAGAGCCAACTACCAGGAGCCCTCCCTCCTTTCTCCCTCCCACCCACCCAGCACGGTTGGAGGCTCGCTGAGTGTGTCACACTGCGGGGAGCCAGGGGATAGCTGTCTCAGGCAGGAGACATTATATCCCCATCATGAGAGGGGCTTTGGTATCGTGCATGCAGGGTACAGTGAGCAGGAGCTTGGGTAATGTGGAAGGGGGCCTGGAAAGAAACACCTTACCTTGGCGGGGCACTTTAAGAAGTGTTTTCCTATCTACTGTGTCTTTCGCTTGATTTAGTTTTGGGGTGTGTGTGTGTGTGTGTGTGTGTGTGTGTGTGTGTTCATCTTAAGCACGCATGTGTCTTGTGTGTGCAGGAATATATGTGTGCTTACCTACCGTGGAGGCCAGAGATTGATGCTAGGCTTCTTCAATTGCTCTACACCTTATTTTTGAGGCAGAGTCTCGTACTTGAAGCCAGAGCTCACCAGTTTGACTAACTAGCTTGCTCTGGGGGTCGCCTGTTTCTCCCTGATTAGCACTGCAGTCACAGGTGGCCACCACACCTGCCCAGCACTTCCGTGGGTGCTGAGAACTTGAACTCCTGTTTCCACACTGTGAGGTAGCACTTTGCTCACTGAACCATCTCCTAGCCCCGCCCCTGTGTCCTTGGACCAAAAGATCAGCTTGTCTGAGAATGGGGCATCTGAAAAATTTGCATTAGAGGTCCTGAACGGGAGATTTCTTTACACTAGCTTTATAAATGCCCACAGAGACCTTCTGGGCAGGGGCAACGCTTCACATGCGTAGGAATGGAAACCTGCTTGTCTAAGTTGGGTGAGGGTGGAGTGGACAGGGTGAGGCTTGAACCTGGGGAGGGATGGAGATGGAGTTGGGGAGGCTGGGAATAAAATGCCCCAGTTAGCTAGAGAGCTAAGATGCCAGAACTCACTCTCTGTCCCCACCCCATGCTCTAAACATTTCCGTGTCTACCTCGTTGCCTGATGCTTTTGGAGCCCCTGGGTAATTCATAAATCACTGTTAGGGAAACATACCGTCTAGCCATATGTGCCAATAAAGTTTTCTCACAAGCAAATTAAAAAGAAGAAAACAGGTAAAGTTAATTTAATATATTTTATTCAATTCAATACATCCTAGTCATTTGAGCATACACTCAGTATGAAACAAAGCACTAGAGAGATGTTCTGTTCTCCTTTCCCTGCCACGTCTTCAAAACCCTGTGTGCACTTTCTGTTTTCTATCTCTGTCTAGAAGATAAGGGGTCAGTAAACCTGATGAGTCTTAACAAAATTATAAAGCCATATTTAGCAGGGAAAAAAAGCATTTCATCCTGCTTCAGTTTTAAATCTTACATTAATTGAGCGCATTCAATTAAAAATCCAGAGCCAGGAGGTGTTGGTGCTCGCCTTTAAGCCCAGCATTCGGGAGGCAGAGAGGAGTGGATCTCTGTGAGTTCAAGGCCAGCCTGGTTTACAAAGTGAGTTCCAGAACTGGTTCCAAAGCTACAGAGAAACCCTGTCTCGAAAAACAAAAACAAAAACAAAAAAATCCAGGTCTTCAGTCACCATGGCCACATGTCAGGTCCTCCGTAGCCACCTGTGTCCAATGGTCACCAGTGAGGACTTGGGGATCTATGGAACATGGCCTTTCTCCTTTGGGGCCTTCACCTTCCTTTGGAGTCTTGCCTCAGAGGGGGTGGGGAGGGCAAGCCTGCCTATCCCTGCGGGCTCAGTCAAGGTCTTGTGCCCAGCTGGCCACTGCTGTGGTTTCAGGAGAGCCAAGAAGGTTGGTCTGTCTCCATGTCTGGAACTCCATCACCCTGCCACCAAAGCTTTAAAGCGCTGCCTTGATGCTAGGCACCAGCTTAAGGGCTCCATCCGTATCTGAGTTATTTGGTGTTCATGAAAACACTACGCATTGCTTAGTGTGGTGGTGCATACCTTTGACCTCAGCACTCGGAAGGATGAGTAGATCTCTGTGAGTTCCAGACCAGCCTGGTGTACATCGTGAGTTCGGGGCCAGCCAGGGGTGTGTAGAGAGACCCTGTCTCAAAAACAAGCAAACAAACAAGCAACAATCCTCTGTGCATCTCAGCTTTCCTTGTTTTATAGTTTGGGAAACTGAGGCACAGAAGGCTAACTGGCTGGATTGTTCTAGGTCCAGCTTCCTTTAACACCCCACTGTAGAGCCTCGGGAGTTTCCATGCCCATTGCTCTTCCAGAGTACTTTATTAAGACCAGGAACAGCTGCCGGCACCTGGAGTGCTGCATGCTGCCGTTCTGGACTCTTCAGGGCACTCCCCTGTGATCTGCACACAGTGGACACACAACTAGCCTCCAAAGCCAAGACCACTGTACAAGGCTGCCCGCAAGAAGGAGGAAAGGCTGGGATGCGCTCAAGTCTCCTGGCCTTTGGGTGTGCAGACCCAGGAAGGAGATCCCCCTACTGGGGTGATGGGATGGGAACATAGAAGGGCAAACGAGCATCTTGGGGTTACCACTGCCCACCCCATCAAAGCCCAGCAGGGGGCAGTCTTGCCTCAATGCATGAGTTTTCCTGTCTTTGGGTGGTAGCCTGGGTCTAGGCAAGGACGCTTCTACCCAAAGTCGTTCCTTCTGAAAAGAGTTGCTGGGCAGAACCAGAGAATTAGAAGGTGGTGGCCCACCTGTGAGTAACTCCAGGGACGGAGTCCAGCCGGAGAGGGTAATGGCTGCAGGGCCATGGCTGCATCCCGTGAGGACCGTTTTACCCAGCATCCACCTGCAGCATTTCCCAACTCCCCGTGTGCATACACACACACCAAGCATTTTTCCTCAGCTCCTTTGTCCCTAAATCATAGACATTTGGTCACCATAATAGTGTTGTCATAGTTACTTGATGTTCCGTTTCCTCATCCCCTCCTGGCTCCTCTAGGCCTGAGATCCCATAAAATAGCCCCCACCCTAGGCTGTCCTCATCTTTTTAACTTGCTTTGCTGACGAGCTGAGTGGTGACATCATCCTTGTTTGTTTCCTTCAGGACTCGGCTACAACGAGGAGCAGATCCACAAGCTGGATAAGTGAGTGGCCTGCTCCCTGGCAGGCCGGTGGGCAGGAGGGCGGAGGTCATGGGGTAGGGTGAGTCTTCTTCCCAGGTGGGTTATACTGAAGCGCTTTGACCCTTGGCCATGGTGGGGCAAAGGGGATAACGATCCAAGTCAGGTTATATGGGGTCAGGGGTGGGACACTGAGCAGCTGAGCCAGGGGCTTCTCACAGTCAGACTTGATGTAAGGGCTTTCTTCCCGTCATGAACAAGTTTGTGGGATTTTCTCTGGAACTATTCTCACTGGCTGACCTCTTCCCCCTCCCTGCTCTTGACCTTGGCCTGGGCCTGCCTGGCTTCTCATCAGTACCGTTTCCTGGACACCCACACCGTCCACCAGGCCTCCCTGCTCTGAGGACTGTTTGGGAAATTTCCCCGCAGAGTTACACCGCCTCTAACTCCTATGCACATTGCACACATACATATGCTAGCATGTGCGCGTGCACACACACACACTCACGCATGCACACACACATACACACACACATGCACACTCAGTCATAAGCTTTCTATGGCTGGACATCTTTCCTTCTCCCAGGAATCAAGTTGAGAGTGTATGCATTCATTCGCCATCATATCAGCCTCCCTTGCCTCCTTATTGGAGCATGTAGCTTTACTGGCCTCTGGGCTTTACAGTCTGAGTGTATTGCTATCCTTTCTTCCCGAGAGGTGCCCCTGCTGTGGGCTGAGGGGCTGGCATTTGGGATGGGCAGTGGTGGAAAGGCTACCTCTGAGTGTAGGTGGCTCCAGCTGCCCACTTTAGCTCATGGGGTCTCTGTCCTTCCAGGGTGAATTTTAGCCACTTAGCCAAGAGGCTGCTGCAGGTGTTCCAGGAGGAATGTGTACAGAAGTATCAGATGTCGCTGGTCACACACGCCAAGCGGATAAGGTAAACAACCCGGCCTTTCCTCTGAGCTCATGGAGTGTGGGTTGGCCCTTCTGGACTTGAGAGGACCCTGGGCTCTGCGGGACCTGAGTAAGAACAAAGTTGGTGGGTGTTGAAGGAGCCCGCTTGTTGGTTCCTGGGGCTGCTTAGCAGCTCAGCCCAGAAATAATCACTCAGAAACTATATTAATTAAATCACTGCTTGACCCATTAGCTCTAGCTTCTTATTGGCTAACTCTTACATCTTAATTTAACCCATCTCCATTAATCTGTGTATCACCACGTGGCAGTGACTTACCAACAAAGTTCCGGCATCTGTCTCTGGCGGGTATACATGGCTTCTCTCTGACTCTGCCTCCGTTCTCCCAGCATTCAGTTTAGTTTTCCCTGCCTACCTATCAACAGGCCAAGGCAGTTTCTTTATCCACCAATGGTATTTGCAGCACACAGAGGGGAATCCCACATCAGGTGAGAAGCGAAAAGAGGAGTGGGCCAGGCAGTCTTCTGGGTGATTTCTACAAATGTGTCTATGGCTCTACAGTGTTTACACAGCAAATGTTACCATGTCCTTCCAGATGAGGGGACCGAGGATCCAAGAACCGGTATCTTCCTAATATCACACAGCACAGACTGGGGACTAGAACGTGGGAAAGATACCCCTAAAATCTGGGTTTTACTTGTCGTCCTCTCTAGGGAGGAGGAGAAACAGGTAGACTTCAAACGGTCAAGGAAGTGAGGTCAGGCTTCACCCACTAACATACCCTCCCTCACACTATTCTGTAGCTGGAACCCCTTTCTCAAGCCCCCATGGTCCCCTGCTGCACTTTCCTGGGGCCCCTGAGAAGACAGGACAGTTTTCTGTGTGCTGTGTGGCTAGTGGCCTTGTCATGGGGCCGAGTTCCTCCTACCCTCACATTAGAATACAACGCCTGGCAGCCCCCTCCACACTGATGTGATGGGCCCAGGCGGGCCTTAGATATTAGTTTAAAGTCTATTCCTGATGATCCTGATGTGTATTCAGAACTGAGAGCCAACTTTTGATTTAATGGACTTGGGACTTGGTTTCCTCTGTGCCGTGGAGAAATGTCCCTCCATGCCCTCTGACTAGAGACCAGGAGTCCCAAGTTTTGGCCCTTCCTTTGTTATGGAAATGGAGCATGACCATTCCTCATGTAAGCCTGCTAGCCTGTGTCTCATTCTTACCTGGCTCTCTGCTTGCCAAACCCACTTGAGAGAACCAGCTTCATCAACACACTACATGGGTGTTGTTACTGATCTCTGCCCCTACTCTCCTGGGATTCTCTCAGTTCCCAAGAGCAACTGTGTGCAGCATGGCGGGTGAGAGATGAGTGACATTCCCATAGAGGGAGCACGAGGCTTAGGACCCCCTGCTGAGCTGACACCAGCCCGGAGAGTCCCAGCAGTGGAGAGCTGGCTCTTGCTCTAACCCCCTCTACTTCTCTTAAGGCAGGTGCAGAAGACCCAGAACCACCTTCACCTCCTTGGCCGCTCTGTGGCTGCCTGTAACACAGAAGCCCGGGAAGCCCAAGAGAACCTGAGCAAGGTGTGTGTGCTTTGGGAGTACTAGGGGCTGCTGAGGGGAGGGACATTTGCATCACTTCCTGCCAGGGGACAGAGCAGCCTTGACCAACTCAGGGATGCCCATGAGGGTTGGGGGTCTCTGACCTCAATGCGCCCTGAGATGGGAACATTCCTAGTGATTTCAGACTGACCATCACTGCGAGCAAGGGCTCTGGCTGCTAAGACGGCTTCTGGAGGTCCTGAGGGGTTGTGCAAGTTCTCCTTGGTGAGTCACTTTCTGCCAAGGCAGCTGGCTGGCTGGCCACAGAGAATACAGAACAGGCCCTTCTAGGAGACAGTCACACGTGGCTCCCAGCATGTGATGTGGGCAACCTCAGAGATCGGCCAGGATTGGCCTCTATCCCAAACCGTGGCTCAGATTGTGTCCTGAGGTTAGAGCCAAAGGGGAACTTGGCAGACTGAATCATTCGGTCCAGTACAGATGAGGGAAAGCAGTTCCACCAGTGGGAACACTCCCAGGATGGGAAGGAGCGACATGTTGAAAAGACTGGAGAATTCCAAGGGCTCTCGGGAGACCGTGTGGGGGCAGATGTGTTACCCTTCCCCGACACATCCCTGCCCAGTCATACGTGGGCTGACAGGACCTCCCTGACGAATGCATGGCTTCCCTTCAGATCTTTGATCGGCTCCTTCTGGACAGAGCATCAGGAGCTGAGATCTCACCACACCCCACGGCTCCTCATCCCAGCCCTGATCCAAAGGACCTGGTCTTCCAGTAAGTGCTGGGGAGCTGGGAGAAAGAGGTGCTGAGATTAACACCACGCTGCTTCATCTCATGCCCCAGACCAGACCAAGAGGCTGCTTCATGGCCTCTGCGAGCGGGCTCTGGCCCCAAGTGACCAAGCCTCAGCCACCCCTTTCTTCTTCCTTGGATAGCATGCAGGAGCTTTGTAATGATATGAAGCTGTTGGCCTTTGATCTCCAGGACAACAACCGTCTCATTGAACGGTGAGCATCTCCCACTTCTGGGGAAGGCTGTATCTTCCCTGCTGCCAGGGCACTGGGGGGAAGAGCCCCTGTGTACCCCATGCAGGATCCAAGGCACTTGCTAATTCTCTGAACAACCACATGAGTGTAAGGCCTCATTTGCAAGTGGAGTGCCATCTTGAGGAGGTATAGGCTTTGAAGTACGTCAGTACATCAGAGTGAGGCTTGGAGCCAAGTGGATTTGTATCTGGGGCAAGTTCTACACTGAATGTGGGCAATATTTACATGGTCTTCTTTACATGCCTAAGGAGCCTTCCAAGGGCCCTGGAGTGGATGCTGCCATGTATCTCACGCTGAAACCACAGCACAGACAGACTGGCATTTTTGCCCAAAGTCTATGTCTCCTGCCCGATGAGCTCCATCTTTCCCACCTGCTCTCACGGTGCCCAGGCTGCCTGGAGACACTGGCACATCTCTAGAGAGCGCCCCCTCCTGGATGGGTGGTGACCAGCAGCAATGCTCAGACTTTGGGAGTCCATACACCAGTAAAAGTCACAAAAGCAAATGTGGGTGTGGACATACAGGGCAGGATTGCCAACTGCTCGAATAACTCAGGAGCACATTTACTGAGCAGAAGGTCTGCTCTGGAGCAGTCCCATTTTAGAAAGCATCGTGTTTGTTTTTGTTTGAGACAGGGCCTCTCTATGTAGTCCTCACTGTCCCGGAACTTGCTTGCCATGTAGGCCCAGCTGGCCTCAAACTCACAGAGATCTACCTGCCTCTGCCGTCCGAGTGCTACACCCGGCTTGTCATGGGCTTTTGAAACCTGAAAGCCCACCCCCAGTGACACACCTCCTCCAACAAAGCCATACTTCCTAATCCTCAAATAGTTCTACCCACTGGGGACCAAGCATTCAAACCTATGAGTCTCGAGGGGCCATTCTCATTCAGACCACTACATTGCGCTACTAGAACGGGGGTCAGGAGGTAGGGCAACTGGGAGCAGAGCCTGTGGCTAGTCCTCAGAGGTTTGGAGGGTTCCTGGGTGGGGGAGGCATCCGCTCACAGTTCTGTTCCAGCTGGAGGAAATTCCGTTCCCCCCACAATTTCCATCCTCTTGAGCAGGAAGTTCTAATCTTTAGTGCCGGCATAAATCTTTCTTGGGGTGATTTATTGTCTATTTACAGATATCTCCGAACTGTGTTTTGGTGACTTTGCACTTCCTCATTTAGACCTGCAGCCAAAGAGCCCAGTGAGCAAATCTGAACCCCTTGCTGGCCTCTGTGTCTTCCCATTGGAGCAAGGGTGCTTCTAATAGTGCAGGGACCTGGGGATTGCCCACAAGACCCTGAGCAAGGCCTGGACTAGCGGCCTTTTAAGCTTTTTCCAGGTGATTCTAACATGCACAGATAAAAACCAGAAGGCAGTATCTGGGGACAAGGACACTGCCGGGGAAGAACTGAGGCTAAGTGCTCCTGATCATTGATGGCCCTGCGCTATCATCCACCTGCGCGCTTCTTCAGCAGGTGGGCCAAGCTTACCTGTGCCTTTTCTTACAGGTTACATAGAGTTCCATCCGCACCCGATGTCTGAGCTTTCTGGGGTGCACAAGACACTTGGAAGCATTAGCGTCATTCATACATTTTGGTCTCACCTCACCAGCCTACCTCCCTCTTGGCCACTGGCCAACAAACTAGCATTACTTTGACAGCCTGTCCTCGCGGACAGCTGGGACAGGGTCTCCTAGCTATCCTGGACAGTACCCATCAGAGAGCATGCAGCCACTGTTGATTCATCCTGGCACCAAGACTCTTCCTCCTCACCGGGACCTGGAGGGCTGAACTTAGGAGGGCCTTGGGAAGAGAAGGCTGAATGACCCCACCACTTTGCACTTCCCAGGGACCAGCGGGCTCTCGGGGCTTCTCCAGGGTGCTGGAGCAGAGGACTTCGCCTTGCACACAGCCTGCCATTTCCTGAGTGCCCCCATCCCTGGCCACAGGCAACTCACAAACTGCCCCTTTGTGCTTTGTCTGGATGAACCTGCATTTCAGAAGGGGGGTTGTTGAAGCCAACTGCTGGTACTTTGAGGAGCTTCCTTTTGCCTTCCCTCCCTGAGGCACCCTGTGGTTCTGAGAAACAGCTGGTCGGTATCAACAGGTAGCCACGCCATCTGGACAGATGTGGGAACCCAGAGTCCCAAGGAGACAGCAGGCCTACACCTTTGGAAACGGAATAAATGCGCCACCTTCTCTGTTTCCCCTGCAGCTATCATACCCGTCCCAGAAGGGGTGGGAAACCCTGAGGTCTGGGTGGGAACCTCTCCAGAGGATCATTGGGAAATGGAACAGAGAGCTCATTTCCCGGTCCTGCCTTTCCTTCGGTGGGTTCTGGCTTAAGGGACAAACTCAGGAAAGATGGCCTCTCCCTAAGAGATCTCTGTTTCCTGCCCTGTCATTTAGGGGAAAGTCTGGCTTTCCTTCTACTCCCATCTAAGGTGCTTACCATCTAAACACCTGCTGTTTCCCCCAGTCCTCATCACTGTTCACAATCCACGCCGTGTCTAAAATGTTTGAGGGCCACTGTAGGGCTTTCCTTTATTTAGCCTAGAAGCTAGAGACGCCCGGGTAAAACACTTCAGTTTGTGCAAACGTAGGCTTTCCTGTTCAGCTTCCCTTTAGCCAGTAGGGCAAGGAGAGGCAGGTGCACAGTAAGCCCCACTGTGTGCTCCGAAGCATGAAGCCAGCTCAGTGATTGGCCCCAGATGATCCTGTTTCCATGAGCATCTCCCCGTCCGTGGAGGGTCTTCCCCTAAAGTCCCAGCAGGGCCAGAAGCGGGGGAGATCAAGTCCTAGATGTGATGTCTATAGGAAGAGCCACCCAGGGAGAGAAGCCGGAGCCTAACTGCTTAGATCACATTTGCTCTTCATGTATGTCCTCTGAGCCTTAAGCCTGTGGACTCAAGTTCTATGGCCTCGAGGGTAGATGCTGCCCTGACGGCCCCAGCACCAAGCCACTTCTAGCATGCTCTCTGGGGTGAATTCGGGCCAGCTTCTGCTCCCCAGTGCCCCAACAGGGAAGTCCCACAAGGGGTTTTCCCCGGCAGCTCAGACCCCACGTGTTTGGTGGAGTTGCAGCAAGAGAGCCAGGGGATCCCTCAGGGCCAAATGCACATGTCTGGGAGGTACCAACCTAGAGTCTGATCTGCGCATGCCCACAAGCTGGGGAACATCCTCACAGGCTTCGGTTGGCAATGATGGCCAGGATGCTGATGTGATTTCTAGGTCCATTTCGGAAGAGTGTAAGCGGTTACAACCCATGATCAGAGGCATCTGTAAGACCCTCAGATGTCTGAAGACCCCAACTTCTCCCTCTGTTCCCCACATCACTTCCTTAGTATGGAAAGAATCCATTCAGTCCATCAGGTGGGGAGCAGGAATGCCAAGTTCTTGCTGGGTACTGGAGCCACCAGAGTGACAAGAGCACTGTTGCTGGCACTGAGGAGCTAGGTTCTGAGGGACAACAGGCTATGACGGAATCTCATTGTCCCTCAGTAGGTGTTGTGATTGGAATGCACAGCTCAGGTGTAGCAGGAGTTACCCTCCTTGCAGGCTGGGGGTGTGTCACTTGGGAGCAGGTGACCCAAAGTGGAATCTTAGTGAGCAAGTGAGAGACTTGGAATGTGCCATGCAAAAGCACAGGTACGTGTTGCTGCGTTCCTAAGGCTGAAGTAGGAAGTTTGGAAAGGGAGGAGCCAGCCCCAAAGGTCAGGCCTGGGACATGGGCTTTGTTCTAAGGAACCAGACAGGTTTTAAGTCAAGTCCAACTGGTATTAAAAGATAGCATTCTTCAGTGCCAGTGTGGAGGGTGAAAAGCCATGGCAGAAACAGCCATGGTAGAGACTTCCGTGAAGTGCTGTGTTGTCTGGACTCCCTCCTCAGGTCCTACCTCACTGCCTCTGAGGTCCCAGTGACAGGAAGCAGAGGTGCAGTGGCCACAGGGCTAAGGTTGAGTGAGGGGCTCAGATCTTTGCAGACATCTGGAAAGAGACCCTATTCCATTTGGATGTATCTGCCATCCTCTGAGAATGGACTTGCCCAAGTTACGGTACTAACTGGGAGAGTGCAGGGCAGTCTTGGTTCCTCAGGCCAGCGTACAGGCAGCTCTGGGCAGGGGGAGGAACTGGAGCTTCCTTCCATGCCTTGGTGCTGTAGGGCTGGGTCGCAGGCCTTTAGACTCCACGTTTTGCTCTTGGAGCCTGGTTTCTGGGCCCCGCCCAGCGTCTGGATCTAAGTGGTGGTGGGGGAGGGTGTGACCCAGGAATCTGCATTGCTGGTGTGCTTCCTTGGTGAGGCAGGGTTTATGATGACCTGGGGATGGCCCCTGGACTGGACACCTCGCCCTGCTTCTCCAGGACAAATGGATCTAGGAGAGTCAGTCTAAGGCAGGAGGGACCTCCTCGATGGCCTGGCCTCCCTCCCTCAGCATCTGCCTTTTGCTTTCCCACGGCGGCTCCTCTCGTCAGCACAGGTGCGCTAATGGAGGCTGCGCCGAGTGGCTTGGAAAGATACTTCAGCAGTTTCCTTCCTGTTTCAAAATTCAGCCTTTTGTTGTTTGTTTGAGATGGAGTCTGGACAGCCTAGAAGAGACTGAAGCTATGCCACCAGGCTGTGATGAGACACCATGACCACAGCAATTCTTAAAGGAAAGCTTTTAATTCGAGAGCTCACTTACAGTTTCAGGGCGTTAGTCCATGCTCATCTTGGCCGGGAGCATGGTGGCAAGCATAGCGCTGAGCAGTCATGAGAACTTTGCATCCTGATCCCCAGGTGGGGTGCGGGATGGGGCTGTAGTGGGCTTTTGAGATCTCCAAGCCAACCCCCATGACACTCTTCCTCTAACAAGGTCATGCCCACTCTAACATGGCCACACCTCCTCTAACTAGGCCACACCCCCTAATCACTCACAGTTAACCTATGAGTCTGGAGGCTATTCTCACTCAAACCACCATGGTGAGCAGCCCTAGTGGGAGAGGTTATGGTCTGGGCTAGGATGATCCAAAGGTACTTTATGTTCCTAGGCTGACCACTCAAAACAGCTGCCGTTTAAAGCCTTCGTTTAACATACTTCCTTCACCAGAGAGAGGGAGGGAGGAAGCAGGAGAGATGGGAGGGAAGGAAGGAAAGAGAAAGAAGGGAGAAAAGGAGGGGGGAGATGAAGAGGAATGTGGGAGTGGCAGAGAAAGGGGGACACACAGAGGGGAGCAGGAACAGAGGAAGGAGCCGATAGTGGGTAGAGGGGGCTGAGGCGGGGTGGGGACAGCCCATGATGTCACCCAAGTCACTGTGCCTGTTAATCTGTCCTAACCCCAGGCTGAGGCTCGCAGCCACCATGGCAAGCCCGCGAGCTGGCCTAGCCCTGGAATATAAGTGCTTGTGGCTGACAGCCTCCCCTTTGGTTGAGGGATAAAGGCTGCTGACAAGTCTGGAATATCTGAGTTTTTCCAGGGCAGGGGAAAAAAGCATGTGTGTGCACACAAGCCAACTTTATCGCAAGCTTGGCAGTGGCGTGGGGTGGAAAAACTGCATGTTTGCCGTGCAGATGGAGGGGCCATGGAACTGGTTCCCAGACTAATGACACATTTTTCAGGAGTACCCCTATACACACCCTTTTGTCCCTAAGTACTGTCCAGGACAGAGAAAATTCCCTTGCGAGCACAGGCATTTGGTGTCATGCTTGGTGGAAGAACAGAGCCCACTAGCTAGCTCTCCTCTGAGCTCTGCTCACGCACAAAATAAGCAAATAATTTTAAAGCCATGCCTGAGAATGGACATAGTGCTTGTCCAGGCCCCAGTTGGCCCCAGCCCTGGCCAGTCAGCAGCGTCTGAACACAGCAAATTCACTACAGTGCCCAGCCCCTTGGAGGATGTACACAAGCTGTGGAGTCCCCTCCTGTTTCTCCCTAGCTCCGAAGGTGTTGGGGTGCCTTCCATTCTCCCTAGAGCATCAGTTCCTGCTCTCTCTGGGCACAGGGTCCATGGCTTTAAAAACAAACAAACAAACAAACAAACAAAAGAAAAGAAAACAAAAACCATGTCTTACCAGACATTGGTTGTGAGCCTAGAACTGAGCTCTCTGCATGGGACACCAGCACCTCCCTGCTTAGTGAAGGGGGTCAGAAAGATCAACAAGACCCAAGGGAGGAAGGCAAATCCCAAAGGTCACCTGGACCTCCCATTAGGATGAGGTGACAGTGGAGGTACAGATGGAGTGATGGTTGGATGACCCTGGGATGCAGGACCTGACAGTAGGACCTGACCAAGGGAGTCACAAGGGAGAGAAACCTAGATCAGGGTTCTGACTAATCCTACTGTGCCTGTGGTCAGATCAGAGCTGCAGTCACTGCCCCTCCCACCCCAGAAGGAAGTGCAGAGGCCAATATGTAGATTAGAGTGGCCTGGAATCCAGATTGGGACCTCTGTCGGTAGTCACGGTAGTCACGTGATCCTGCACCTCAAGTTTCTAATCTGAAAATTTGGAACACTGGTCATTTCACATCCTACAAGTGGCTGCCACAGATCCGTTACTCTCTTGCAGCGTGCGGGGTCACCCACTCCCACTGAAAATGGCAAGCAACACCCTCTTTCTCATGGAGCCTGCACCTCCTGTGCAGTGTGTAGCCCAAGAAGGCAGGAAGAAGGAGGCCAAGGGCATTTCCTTCAAATGTTGTAGGGTGCACACAGTTTTACCTGCCACTGCTTTGAACCCATTTTCTGTGGTCCATGGGTATATTAATCAAAATCTCATAAAATATAGACCAATGGCCAGGCAGTGGTGACGCATGCCTTTAATACTAGCACTTGGAAAGTAAAGTCAGGTAGATCTGTGTGTGTGTGTGTGTGTGTGTGTGTGTGTGTGTGTGTGTATGTATGTGTGTATGTGTGTATATATGTGTGTGTATGTATATGTGTATATATATATATGTATACACACACACACACACACACACACACACCAATAGTCAGGCATTTTGCTGGTAGAGCCTGGGAATGTTTGATTAAATTTGTGTTCACAGAGTTTGGGATGAATGTTTGGGGGCCATTGTGTCTGCTGTCCCCTTAGCCTGGAACATTGTTGCTCATGGACACAGGTTTTTCTCTAGTTAGATTTAAGTGAATCTAGGGAAGGTCTTTTCTGTCTGACCCAGTGGTTCTCAACCTGTGGGTATCAACCCCCAAAGACTATTGGAAAACACAAA